ATGATTGAATGAAAAATGCAATTTTTCATTTGACAATTAGAATTATTTGTAAAAAAAAAAAAATCATTGGAAGCCAAACATTGCTAATTTTACTGTTGGACGGCATTATTGGAAATCTGATTTATTAAAATATGTATGAAATGATAATATCGATGTGATACTTCACTGATGGTATAAGTGAATTTTTTTAGGGAAATCGAGCTAATAAATTTTCAAACGTCATTATTTGAAGTCTGTGCATTGGTCATCGGTTTACCATAAATTATAAACATTTAAACGCCGTTTTTGTACAAAATTCTATAAAAATGAATTTTTGTGTTATGCCGTTAACGTTTTTTGCATAGAAAAAAAATGCATTCGGTTTGGCTATTTTTTTAAAAAAAATCAGAACAGGATAATGATTTATAATGGTTTAGAGCCCAAAGACACGCGGAAAAATTTTCGTTTTTTTTTATGTAAAATGCTTAGGCGTTGAAAGGTGAGTTTTTGGTAATTCTTCTTTTTATATAATTACTTTTTTATGTTATTCGTAACACGAGTGTACCGTCTCAGTCCGGTGAAAAGTGCTGAGGTCATGTGTACATTATCGAGGAGTGCGGTAAAATTACTCAAAAGAAAAAAAAATAAAGTAGATTTATTATGTCGTTTACTTAATATGTTATGTTTGAACAGCTATTCAGTGCACGGTACGGTAATAATTGTATTATGGTACTGTACTCGGGGGGAGGGTGAATATTATTTTTTTTTCCTGTTGTTATACAAAACAAAATAATCTACTGTTTGCCCCGGAGACACGTTGCGTTCAGATGCTGCTTGTATTTCTTACAATCATATTATATGTGTACGGTTATGGGGAATTATACACGCGTTATGAACGGCTGAAAACTTGTGTACCGACAGAATAAAAAATCAGAAGGAAAAAAAATGTAATCACAATAATATAGTCATAGTTACACTCAATGACGGCCACGTTGGATCGTTAATAATGTTGCGATGCGGTTCATAACCCCGGTTATGGAGACAATATTATATTATTGTATATTGTTAATTACATTATCCGCACAGTCGTTTGGCAATTATCATTGGCGACGCGAAACAACAATAACGGTTATTAATTAACGCCAATCGCATGAATATACTATTCGGTACCGCAATCGCAATTAAACAATACAAATTCCGACAAAAGGAATAAAACAAAATAATACAAATTTATTACAATCCAATAAATTATCAATATAATATGTATATATATAAGCGTGTTCGTACTTGACTCAATTATCGTACAATACAATATAATGTATTGTCTTCCAGAAAATATGAGTATGGCTTTCTCGATCGAAAAAGTCTCGGAAATAAATAAAATGCATACCAAAAACAACGAACAATAATTTTTATTTTTTATTTTTTTTATCAAGAAAGTCTTCAATTACTACTAGCCAGAACAATAATTATTCTGTAACTTTTACTACGTTGGTTCATCATTATTAAGTTTACACGTGTGATTCAAATCGATTGATCCGCGTTGATTAATTTTTTAAGCAAAACAACACATGTGAATGCTTGTTAAACCGAACAATAATAGGTAATTGTATTTTACCTGATTCGGATTAATTAATTCTCAGTTAAAACAATTACTACGTTTACAGTTTGAACAGATTTTAGTTTAATTCGAACTAGTTAATTCATTTTAATTGAGATAGAGAAAAAAACATTTTAAGAAAACATGTTCACGAATATTATTATTATAATCGTGCTATAGTATGTTATAACTCAAGATGTCGTATATCATTTTTATCCGGTGCTAATGCCATTTTTAATCCCGGAGTTAGATTCAATTAAATCAGAGGAATTCAGTTTTTTCAGTAATTTGTATTAAGCTAATGCGCAATAAAAACGGGATTGCATGTTCAATAAAACAGATTAATTTAATTCGCATTATTTACTTAATTACAATTGCGCTTAAACGCCTAAATATTGTTTAACAGAGCCGGATTATATAGTAATTAACTCGCTTCAAGCTAATGCACGTTAACAACTGATTATTATACATTAGCTATTGCATATTATTGTAAAAATAATAATTATTAGGTACTATATACTCTTTTAACTAATACTTTTTTGTTTTATTTCAATAACTATTATAGGACATGAAGAAATGTCCGATTTTAACTTGTATACTTCTTAGACGTATAATCGGGTGATTAGGCAAAAAATGATTGCGTCATTCAGTTTTTTTTTAGCAAAAATGACTCGCATTAAAAAATAAAAAATTACGCCTGATAATTTATGGTTATGCAATTCAAAAGACGGTGAAAACTTTTGAATGACTGATAAAATTGTTTTATTTACACATAGCATTGACGCACATACACACATGTGCTTGACTTTGTGTTGAGAATCAAACAGAGTGGCGTGTAATAGATATTTTGCATTGTATGAGTACATTTTTTGTTTAATCTTCGATATGACGTTTTCCTCTATGAATCTAATACATCGTTGTGTGAATAGTTGGTATAACTATTCATCGGTTTGATGTGTTAAAATATTTATTGCTCTCAAGTATGTGATCATACAAATATCGACTTGACACGATCATGATTGGTGAAGTGATAGCGTGAAGTAAAACTTGTAAAATCAATAAACATTTCTACAAAAAATATAATAATACATATTCTTTACATACGATAATACGTGTCATAAAATTTTAAAATTGAGCCTAAAAAATAAAAGTAAAACGAAATTACTTCCTTCTTTTAAGACGGTATAATAAAATTCGAATTTAAGGGGAAATAAAAGGGAATATTAAGGGGCAAAGGATAGGCAACTTTTGGAAAATTGGTTTAGTAGCTATTTTAATATCCTGACTAACTTTAAGGTGAAATAATATTAAGTTTTCCTACGGATTTTCGATTTCCAGTTGGCCCAAATAAAATTTGGAATGTTTTCCACTTGCAACGTTTTAACAATGTTACATATTATAATATTTGAACAAATCGTATTATTGAGTAGTGTGCGGTGTATCCGTAACTTATCGTGTTTCGTCTCCAATGTGTGTACAGATGTGGGTACACGATTTTATCAGCGACGAAGTAAATTTCAATATAAAGTTTTTAGTGTTCTTCTATAAAATAATATAGTTTGGCAAGTTTTGACCTGGTAGCACAAACAGTGTTGACACGATTATCGACGTAGTTAAGATGGCTTTTGCCGTGACATTAAAGACAGCCGTTCTATTGTCGGTCATGTTGGATCAGACGTTTTGCGGTAAAACAACCAAACTGTTGAAAAATCTACTCCACTTGGACATGGGTTACGGTAGTACGCACAAAATGTCCGACCAGGACTTGGAGACTATGTCGAACGACGAGTTGAGAAAACACATCCGGCATCTGTACTATCAATTGCAGTGCAGCTACGTGCATATGGCGCTGCACCATATGAGGCTGGTCGAAGACGTGTTGTACGACGGCCAACACTTGGCGGAGTTGCGCGTCGCCGGCGACCAGCACGACGTGTCGTTCAGGCAAGAGGCCGTTGTGATGTTGGCCACCATGCACAACTTGCCGGCGTTGAGCGGCGCCGCGGACATCATGTGGGTGTTTTACATGTACACGGAGAGGGTGCGGTGGTATGTGCCGCAAGGGCGGGACGACCGAAACGCGCGGATGGAACGGGCCGTGCATAAGGCGGTATTGCGGCTACTGGACGAATTTTTGGCGAAGGAAAGGTGCACCGTGTTGTTCGGCACGAAGGAAATTAGAGAGGAACCGGATCCCTCGCTAGGGTTAACCGGCAAGCTGGCGCTGATCAACAAGCACAAGACGGTGGCCCGGAAGCAAGCCGCCAACAACGAAAAGCTCGGCGTGATATCAGAGGGCGTGGAAAGCTTCACGATGGACGCTCTGCGCCTGAACGGCGTGCAGACCGACGCCAACGTGATGCGCACGTTGTTCTACGAGTTCCGGTTGGGCATCGACTGGTCCCGAGTGCAGTACCTGCTGCACGGTCAATACGCGCTGGGCATCAATCACAATTATCCGCTGGGCAAACAGATCAAGTCGCTAGGAGCGTACCATCTGGACTTTGTGCGCGTCCTCAAGGTGACCATGATGCGGATCGTTTGGAAGCACATCAATTACTCCAAGCTGATTAAAGCGGAAAGCCTTCTAAGCGTTTACACCGCGGTGTTCAGGTGTGGAATGAGCACGTTCAACAATAGAAAAATGTCGGAGGCGCTGACCGAGTTCGCCGATTTTTTGGACCTCAGGAGAGACAAGCATTTGCGCGTGCTGTTGAACATGTTTAGTATGAGTAACATCAAAACATTTAAAATCCGATGGCGCATTCGGATTGCCCTGGAGCACATCATGCGCAGAGTGTACCGGAGTCGGCTGTTAAAGGAATTGGTGCTCGACAAAGATTACAAGGCAAACACCTTAGCTAGCGTGAAAAGGGTCGACAACGACTTCGATTTGAATCGCTTTGGTTCGATTGTGAAAAATGCCACGCTGGAGGAGAGCGTCATCAGCGGCCAAGTGTTGGTCGGGTTTCTTAAAAAAACGTTGGATGGTGTCCAGTTCAAGGTGATACAATCGTTCATCCACGTTCAAAAATCGTACGCTGTAAATCGACTAATGCAACTGGAGAACGACTACATAGAACAATTATTGTAATACATAATAATTTAATTACACTACAATTATTTGAGGTTTTACGATTTTTATTTCAATTTTACGAATACACTAATGATAAGTAAATTTTTTTTATCCGTTATTATAAACTGCATAATATGAATAACGCATATTAAAAACGGTTGTACATCAAAATATAGAAATCATAAATAGGGAAGAGGAAGGGTCTGATAATGGGCTTGATGGTAAACATTTGTTTGTATTGTTGTAAAACAATGTTTTAATCATTTTGAATTAACCAATTCGTTTTATAACTATAAATTAGATAAAGTTAATTAATTAATTTCTATAATGCATTTAACATAATTTTTACAAAAAGCGGATGTCTTCAACAATATGGAAATGCGTGAGTGATAGATTTAACAAGTAAATGAAGCGTTCGTTTTCTGTACTAACGGAACTGTAAGCGGCAGGATAATCTTTGGAAAAGAAATACCATCTTTCTTTGATAGAATTGTATATGTATATAGAAGTATTTAGTAAAATTGCTGCAGCCAATACATCAACGCTTGTGCTCCAAGTATCTGTAAAAAAAATGTATTCGATAAAGGATATATATTTCGCTGTAATCGAATCTGGCTATACGTTTTGTAAAACGTACCAATCTAGTTTATAGACAAACTAGAGTTTCTGAAGTTATAAATATATTGTTGTCAATGTTTATTAATTATATAGGTCAGTTTGGACACGAAGAAGTGTAATGATATTTATTTATTTATAACTAAATAAGGAGTTTTTCTATGCCGCTACTACGCGATATAAGCCTAAAATCATTACTTGTTTATAAGTCACAAAAGGTTTAGTAAAAAGAAATAGTACTGATGTATTTTGAATACATACCTTCTTCGTTAATGTTAATTAGTTTCAAATATTTTGTAAGTTCTTCTTCGCCATCTAAAAAATGGAGAATCTTGTCATTGGTTCTGACGACCTTGTGATACAGTTATGACATTAGAAAGCATTAAATACTAAAATTATATGTTAAATAATATTCGTTTTACTACTCGTACCTGGGAAATCTTAGTTCGCAAAAGAAATTGATTGTGTTCGGTACCAGTTACCACATAGGATAGTGCTCGGTAAAAGCAGTTGCCGGTTCCTCCTATGAATTTGTACTTTGAAGGAGTGCCCAGTATTTTTTTATTAGCTCGATAATCTAAAGGTCGTTTGAGTTTAAGACCTAAAGCGTGGCATTTCTGTCGCCTCCACAACACATCAACCGGATAGAAGTAATTTATATTTTCAATTTGGTTGCAAAAAAATCCATAATTTTCAGAAGCCTTATTCATCTTAGTGACATAATACGTTTTATCTAAATTGATTATTTTGACCTATAAAAAATATGTATAATTTACGTATTAAGATATACCTTTACCGTTATAATGTAGTAACTGTTAAATTATTACAGATTTTTTTGATTATCTGTCTGAATAATGATTCAGACTAGTTTCTAATTATTAGTAAATAAAGCTCTATCATTAGGTATGCAATTTTATATACATGGTGGGTGTTAAATTGAATTCGTAGCTGATGTTCATACAAAATCCTGTTCAAATAATTTTTTTGTTACTTGTTAAACATTTAACATTAAATGAGATTTAGTGCATTTAGAACATTTAGTGCATTAAAAAAGAACGTCTTATATATATATAATTATTTAAGTTAATATGTATGTATTTAATTTTTTTTATTGAAATATATAGATTTATAAAACTTAAAAAATATGCATTTGTATTTGAATTATTATAAATCGTATTTGTGACTAATTGTTTAACTATTATTGTCATACCTATTTTATAAAATGTTTACCTAAATTTAGAAATTGATTTGATAATAAACAAGCCCATGTTTGTAAGATACATACCTTAGGTTCTGTGTTGTTAACCTTTTTAAAAATATTTAAAAACGATAGAAAATCATTCGATTTAACCTTACAAATAATTGTTGAAAATAATAAAATAATATATAAAATGTTTAGTTTAAATATCATCGTAATAGAAATAATTTTTTGTCGTTGTAGTATGTATGGTTGGCTTTAAATGTTATCACGTTAACGTATACATATGTTTAACATCCTACATAGTGTTAACTGTCGTTCAGAGCACACACAAGTCTGTAGCGCTACGTATTGCTGTTTTTCCGTGCTTATATTTGCATTTTTCTTGCAAACCATAACTTGCCAGTTTTATTTATTTTATTATTTTTTTTTTTATCAAAACACAACTTTTACCTTATAATGGCAAATAAACCCAGCACACCTTTAAAAAAATCTACCTAGTCGAACTCGTTACAAAAAGAGATTACGTTTGAGGATGTAATGAAAACACTTAAATCAATGCAGTCATCCCAAATTACAAAATTCAAAGTAAAATTAAATTTTCATTTTATTTAGCGTTCTAATTAATAATTAGAAAAATTCACTTCTGTCTAAATTTTGTAAAATCAATGTTAACAGCGATTTCATCGAGTACAGCAAATTTACTGTAATCATGTAATATTAGTAAAAAAAGTAATGTATTTTTCTGAGTACAACAATCGGTAGTGCACACATTTTTGTCATCTTATACAAAAAAATATATTCGCTTGAACAATAATTCTATGCCCTATATAGGTAAACTAAATTTCGGAATACGACATTGTATACATTACTACTAGTATAATTTACTAGTCTCCATATTTATATTTTATACATTAATGGTCTTATTTTTTTTCAAAAATTCAAACAATTGAAAGCTCCAATAAAATGTTTTACTATCATAACCCTAATCATGCGTACGTTTTCGAGTTCATTCAAAAGGTACCTATTTTTCGGATTTGTACAGTTATCAAATAGGTTTAATATGTTTCAAAAAAAATGATAAAAAAATATGTTTACATAACTGCGCACTGTTACCAGCAACATACAATCTACGCGTATTGTTTACTGTGTACGAAAGGTAAACTCAATGTTGGATAGTCAATACTCGACGTTCCAACAAAAGCACTTCCTATTATAGTTTGTAGTACTTCCAGTGTTGAGTCTATATGAGCACCGTCGGTTCGGAGTTCCACACTTTGTTCAGCGACAATATGAAAGTTGTTAACATTATTTTATTTGCAACAGTGTTGCAATGTTCAGGAACGGCCGCCGGCACGGTCGGAGCTTTGTATCGGCTGCTCAAAGGACTGATGAAAGTACGCAAAACTTACCAGGAGGCTAAAGAGCAAATAAACCCGACCTGGGCGACGCTCAATCCGACCGGAATGGCCGATGACTCAAGTCACCTAGAAGTGATTCAAGATCAAATGCGGGACGTCCAACACCGGGTACGGTGCTTTTACCTCAATGTGGCTTTAACTCACATGCGCCTAACCAATGTGTTGTTATTTGACAAGGCATACTCCTCGTGGCTAGTAAATAACAAGGCAGAAATAGACTTCAGAGACGAAGCGGCTACCATACTGGCAATATTGCACAACGTCTCCGAGTCGGGCGTCACCACGGACGTGATGTGGATATTTTTCATGTACGCGCAACGGATGGCGGAGTACGTGGAAACGAATAAAGGCTCGGCTCAAAGGGCCTTCTACGCGACAGTACACAAAGCCACTTTTGATTTTTTCGAAAGAGAATTCGGTCTGGTCGACAAGTGCGAGACGTATGAACTGGTCAACAAGGAAGTGGAAAAAATGAAAGATAATTCAGCCAGATTGGAGCGCCGGTTGGAGTTGATCAGGGAAAACAAAAAAATCAGCATTGACCAGACGCATATGCGTGATGAAGACGACGATGACGTTGACGCAAGTATAATAAGCACTGCGGGCAAGGAACACGTCACTATCAAAGCGTTGCGGCTAAACGACATGCTCGACGATTACACAATCACCAATAATCTGTTCCGGCAGTTCAGGTTGGGCGTCGACTGGACGAAAATCGAATACCTCGTGCAGGGCCAATACAACATGGGCAAGATGTCGTCCTACCCGATCAGTTCGCAAATACAGGCTCTGGGAGCACTCCACGTGGACATGATTGGAATACTGAAAGTCATCATATTTCGCATAGCTTGGAAGCACACCAAGTATGCGAGCACCATAACCTTTGGTCGAACATTGAGATTCGTCTCCGATCTGGAAGACGAACACTTGTACGCCGCACACGGAAAAAACTATGCGACGATGTGTAACTGTCTCAGGGACTTTGCCAATCAGCTGGGCATAGCCAACGACTACGACATCCAAAACGTGATCGCTGTGTTTGCGAACAACAGTACCGGCGTGAGCCTGAGACGGTCGTTCAATTGGGAAAGATGGATTTTGACTAGGGCGCTGAAGAGATCGCTAAGAAAGCTACACAGGGGCCGCTCGTTGAAGACGTTGGTTTTAAACCGCAGCTACCGGATTGAGGTCATCGAAAGAATGCAGAAGCTCGTCAAGGACTACGGCCTCAAGCTAACGGAGTCCACCTATGAGAGCGTAGTGAGCGCGCAAGTATTTACCGGGTACATCAGCCAAATATTGTATGGCGTCAATTTCCCAAAGGTGATCAATTCTTTTATTCGCGTACAGATGTCGCCTAAATTGAAATCGTTAGACTTTTTCGAAAGAAAGTACTTGGGAGAAACTAAGTACAAAAAAAATATAAAAATAAATAAATAAATATAAAAGAATGATATAAAAATAAACGTATCACATTTTATTAATTTGATAACAATTCAACTCTACAAATTACATTTTGTTGCGTTCTTTTAACGCAAAATCTTACTGGTTTACATTAACAATATATGCACTTATCAAACAGTTATTGTGTGTGTGCTTTTCTAGTTCATAAGCCATTTAATTAGAAAATATTCATTCGTCGAAAAAGTTATGTATGAGGATAAAATATATTTAAAGAAGAAAGTATCTGGTTCCAGTTTTTCTCTAAGTCTCGTTAAGTTTAAATAAATTGCAAGACTCGTTATAATATTATCCCAACAAAAACACTCTGTTAACTCGGTGTAAATGGTCGCTAAGTAAAAAAAAAAAGTGTTTCAACACGAGCCTTAAAATACGTGTTATAATAAGGGACTAAGTAAATACCATAATGTAATACATGTATTATGCATCGTTGTCAACAAATAAAAATCTGTCTACACTCTACATATTAAACCAGTCATGAAAAAATCGAAATTTAGTTTAATTGGCCAGAAATTTTATACATTTTATCTCGACAACCCGGTTCAATTATTTCGGTTGTCACCGTTCCATAAATTGTGTTACCATATTTTGTTTGATCGTTAAGCATCTTCAACGTCTGTCACTACGTCGTAGTCGCCCTCCGAGGACATTTGCAAATAAATGAAATACTCGTCTTCTTCGAACAATTTCGTTACTTCGCATTTGTTGTATAGTACCCAGACCGGAGAAATGTATATTGACGTGTCTAATAAGAAGGTGGCAGCATATATTTCATCGTTAGTAACCGTTGTCTCTGTGTTAACATTAATTATTTCCAAATTAACACACGTTTTAAATAACAAAAACTAATTAATAAAAGCGTCTGGAGAATGTAGCCAAGTTATAAAATCCACTTATAATGTTAAGGAAGAATCTCAAGAAAAATGAATTTAATAAAAAAGTGTGATCAACACAAATGTAAAGATAAAACCTTAAAACAGATTTTTGCCGAACCGATTTTACAGTTTGCCAAAATTATTTTTAATTTATAAAATGCATTTAATTGTTTAACGTCCTTATAAAAGTAACTAGGAAGTTTAATGGTTTTATTACAATTTAATTAAGGAAAAATAATTAAATCTAAAATATAATAATATAATATATAGCCAAATAGGTACCTTTGATTAATATTACAATATATTATGTACACATAAGATTATTGATTTTAATTTTGAAACCAAAATTATTAACCAAATAAATTATGTTACATTGAACATTTTTTTAAAAACACCTTAATTGCAAATACAATATTTCGAAACTTTACTATTCCATTAATTTAAAGTATATGAATAATTTCAGCCAAAAGAAAACGAATCACATCTGGCTCAAGTTTTAATAAATATTAAAATTTGTAATTTATATATTGTTTTTGGCTATACTATTTTATTGTGTTTTACTGTTGTAGGCGTTTTAGCGACGAACTGTTTTTATTTTAACGCGTTGTCGTCTGTCGATAAATAATGGCTAAATAATATTATGTTATGCACGCTTTCGCAGTGCTATTAACATGACGTGGTGTTTACCGAATATGCTGGCATTGTAAGTTTACCGTTAAATGCAATTTCATAAATAAAAAAACTTACACCTGTTTCCTGTATCTTACCTATAGTTCTATTGG